CCAGCGTTACCAGGAACCACTGAGTCTCCTGTGCTTAGGAATCCTGAGAAAAACTTTTTATGATTAAAATGCTTATGCATTTGTACAAATTCCTACATATTGCACCTGTAGTTATTTCTTAAATGACAATAAGAAATATGTATGGTCCTTGAGATGTTGGTGATTTTTAACCAAATGACATGACTGATAGCCCAAGAAGATTTTATTAATTAAGGACATGCTAGTTGTTTATTTAAAAAGTTGCTCTTATCTTATTTCCTTTCCAAGATTCTAAAGAAATATAAAATATATAATAAATTTGTTGTATTATGTGGCTGTGAAACAGTTTCTCATTGAAGGAAGAATATAAACTTCAAATACTTGAAAACAAGTACAAATGAAACTATTTAAAAATGAAAGAAAATGGAGACACTTTATGATTTGTAGTTATGTAAGGGTGGTCAAGTTGATGAAATTGCATTATGCCAAATTAAATAAATGCATTCAGAACTTTGATGGTGAAACTAGTTGAAAGGCAGCTTCATGTAAGACCCAGAAAGGGTATGGGAGTGATTTTAAAATGTTAAGATATTGAACTGAATCAAACTGGTTTGGGGCTTGGTACAATTAGTGGTGTTGAACTTTCGGGTTCTGTTGCTGGTCAGCCATTTTAGACAACTAGTTGTCTAGAAAGATTAAGTTTCATTTTGAATGTAATAAATTCAGAAACTACATACAGATATTAAATTTTAACAGTATTTTATTCAAGAGATTATAGATTTAGTATAAAATTTGTGCTGTTTCGTGTGTATTACATTCAAATAATTAGTTTTATTGAACCTGTTACCTAATGCCCCCAAGCGGTAGTTCATGGTGACTAGAACAACTTCTCCAGTATTCATCATGGGACCAGGTCCATGCATTTGGGCACCTCCTGATCCAATGTAGAAGCCTCCACCATGAATATACACCATGACTGGTTTAGAAGCATCAGTATTTCTGACAGGCAGCTGCAGGTGGATTAGGACAGAAACAACAATTGTGATCTAAAGATTTTAAAGAATTTGTATTCCTACACTATATTTTAAAAATATAAATATGATTTTTACATGAGATGATATTTTAAAATGTAAATTAATGATTTCTACACTTTTGGTAGTCAGTTCAGAACTGCTCGAATGTGTTACCTTAGGTGTAAAGACATTGATAAACAGACAGTCTTCATCTCCAGCATAGTTATTGTCGGTACTGTTGGTAAAAATTCCTGTTTGGGGGGCCATACTTCCCTCCTTGAGAGCATCACGAATTCCTTCCCATGGCTCTGCTGGTTTTGGAGCCTGAAAAAGAAAATCCACTTTCATGTGAAACCAATAGAAAGGAATTGTTTGAAGTATTTCCTACATTAAATTATCATAAACCATGAATATGACTTTCAGAGATGTTTATCATCAGGGCAGTCACTGAGTTACATGTGAAGAATAGGTTTCAGATATGGGAACCAGTCAGACAAGATAGAACTGGTCAGGACAATGGGGTTAAAGATTAGGTGAGAGCAAGTGAGCCTATGGGAGAAGGATAAACTGCAGTCTGACCAGAAGGGGTGTAGCTCAGATGTGCAAGAGAGACAGGAAAGGAAATGGCCCTTAGCAAGGTCATTGGGAACCAACAGGGAGAATTTGGAGAGAGGAAATATGAAAATGGCTGCAGAGGACATATGTACTGGCCTACTGGCCAAGTCAGAAGCACTGATACTGTATCAGAGGCTTCCTACTTCCTTTGAGGGAGTGGATGAGTAGATTTCATGACTAGCTCAGTCTCACATAATAAATCTTATTTTCATAAGTGATATGGAACATATAGGTAGGCATCTGTCTGTCTAACATTGAACATTGTACATGGACATCAAATGTTATTAACTAGAAATTAGTTCAAAGTTTCTCTTGAACATTTTGATCATTTCATTGATTCTTTATAATGGAACTCCAATGTTTATGGTCATAACAAGAACTATCTAGTTTATCCTATTCTAAATCAGTTCTTATCTTGCACCCTCCTTTCTTGTGGATCTTATGTTCATTTTCCAATTGAAATACTGATCTCTTACATGAGTGTTTTCCTATGTGTGTACTTAAAAGCATTTCATGTTTGCCAATCCCTAATACTTATATTTAACAATTTTATAATAATTGATTTAAGAGAAACGTAAAGATGAATAACTGAAAAATGGTGGATACTACATAGCAGAAACTGTGTTATTATGGTGTTCCCCAGGTCATAATTTATTTCACAAGCTCTATAAAACTCTGGGATGTTATTTAATGAATAATTGAAGACTTTCATCCTAGATAGAGAGTGTAATTTCCTATTTCCTTCTAGTTATACATACCAATTTCTTTTCAGTAAATTATTTGCATTAAAATTAATCTCTTAGTCTTAAATATAAGAATGAGACTGCAGAATTTATTTCTATGGTATGTAACCACATCAGGAACCATAAAAATTTATATTTCCTATATGAACATAACTCAAAATGAAATAATCAATAAATACTCATTTCTTACTACTCATACATTGGTTTAAACTAGTATACATATGTTCTTGTCCTTATATAAATACTCTTATCTCTATGTATTTATGAAACTTATAACACTGAACTCACCTTGAACCTCAGAGGTCCCACTGGAGGTTTTGCATATGGAATAGCATGGAAACTGTAGTAGGTTACGCCAGCATTTGTCTTCACTTTTTGTCCTCTCAGACTGCCTTGGGCCACACGAACGATCACTGTCTCTGCCATGTATATGTAACAGTTGTCTGCGAGATAAGATACTGTGCTCTGATGAGAGAGCCCATTTAATACTGATTCCAAACTCATCATCTGTGCCTAAAGAACATAAAGATAACACTCAGTTATTCAGTTTCTATTGGATGATTAGGTAGATATTATCTGTTAAATGTCATAACATCATGACTTTGCTATAAATATTTTATATAATTTGTCTTCATGTAGCAGTTACATCAGTAACTACTTTGACATTCTGATAACACATCTCTAATGTGATAACAGAGTTCTGGAAAGGAAATGTTCCTTATTAATTTAAAGTAGCTTTTTGTCTATTAGACATTTTGTGTTCACTGTATAGATTGGATGTACTGTAGTGAGGTGAGGTACACCATTTCAGACTGTCACTGTGATACAAAGCACTTAGCATGTTCTTGTAGAGACTCACTTTGGTGGCCATGCTTACATAATACACTATTTACTTGCAAGTAAATAAAAAATCAGAGGCTCACTGGACACCACCAGCTTGTGTCAAGCTCAAATCAAATTCTGTTAGGTTTCCCAAAAGTAAATCACATTACAAAAGATCTGAATGTTTTTGATGCATGTGTACCATAATTTATTTCCGTTCCTTGGTTCTTCTTATTTTTTTGATACTAGTCTCAGTTCAGTTTCTGAGACTAGCTGTTTTGAACAGAGACCTTGGATTGGGTTCTCCTGTCCCTAAAGATGGATGTATAACCAGTTTTTGAAATGTTACACTTTAAGGAAAACAAATTATAGATATGGTCCAAGAAAGTGAAACTATTTCTGTAATTTTTGTTTAAACATTTTTTAATATGCTGTGTTTAAGTACCATCATTATCATTATCCTATCATTGGAAGTAAATGAGTTCTGTGGGTGTTCCCACCTCAGAAATGAATAATCTGCACCCTTGTCTGTGTGGGTAGAGGCTAGGAAGAG